GATTCGAATTTTTATTCGTCAAGTAAAGACGCGGCGGATAACAAGAAAGAAATCAAGAAGATTCGAATTTTTATCCGCCAAGTAGAGATGCGGCGGATATCAAGAAAGAAATCAAGAAGAATTTGAATTTTTATCCGCCAAGTAGAGATGTGGCCGATATTCGCGGATAACAATGGAGTTGGAGAAAGAAATCAAGAAGAAATTCGAATTTTTATCCTCCAAGTGGAGATGCGATCCCAACATCCGCGAATAACTATGGAGTTGGAGAAAGAAATCAAGAAGAAAATTCGAATTTTTATCCTCTAAGTGGAGATGCGATCCGGATATCGCGGATAACAATCAGAAAGAAATCAAGAAGAAATTCGAATTTTTATCTGCTAAGTAGAAATGCAATCCGGATACTCGCGGATAAATCCGTAGTGGATTTTGACATGTTTGATTCTAGAATATATTACATCTTACATATAATAATTACTATATCTAATTTGACATTCACATTTAGTCATTATAGTCAAAAATTTTTTTATAGAAAAAAAAAAAAAGTAAAAAGGCGGCAATAATTAATTCCTCTTGGGGTTGTATTTAAACATGATTTGGAATCATCGATGAAACTTCAAGTTCTTAGAATCTACCAGTTATCCAAATCGCTGCCTTGCAACCATGATGTATTATCGCTGTCAAAGGACCATAAAATGGTGCCTTACATGAAAAATATTATTAAAGAACATTGAGCTTTACTAGAGAGAAATAAATTATAAATACTTTACCTTCTTTGCATCCAAGTCTACCGCAGTATCCAAATGTTGTAATTCATCATCACGAAATTGTTTAATGATCTTTATATATCAAGCATTAATAAAGTTTATGAATCAACAATACTATATATTTTATCAGATTATACCTTTCTCAATTCATCAATATCTTCGTGTTCGATGCTTAATAGATCCCGCAATTGACTAAAAAAAAAATTTTTTTTAATGATCAAGTTAACGAAAAAATTTTAACGATAATCAAAAAAAACATCATATACTCGTTGTAATGTTCTCCAATCGTAGTTTCTACAGCTTCTGTGCAAGCCATAGCAGCTTCTTTACCCATCATAGCGGTACCAGCTCCAAGAATGAACCCTAAAGCTTCCCATATTGGACGTAAAATCGTGGGCCTAACTCTAAAACGTGGCATGATTTCATCAAAAGTTTTAAGGTGCAACTTTTCTTGTTCCCACATTTCCTAGTTATAAAAATTAAAAATCCATTCGGATTATACATCATTTTAATGAATCGAATTTATAATCAATAATTTACCTTAATGACGGGACTAATTTTTTCATCGCTTCCCAGCACTGCCAACTGACCTTTATAAATGTAGTTTGCGCCAATTTCACCGGCTTGATCGATTCTGATCATACAATCAATGAGTTGTTTCTGCTTCGGGGTTAATGGATTTTTATTTTGATCATTATTCGAATTGATTCTTTTAGAAGTGGAAATTAAGCGGGAAGAGTAAGTCAAATAAGAAGGATGTTTATGGGTATATGATGAGATAAGTAGGGGAACCTTATGTTTAATTGCAATAATGCATTTACGATGAATTGTTGAACCAATTGAAGAATATGTTAAATAAGACGATGTGTACATTTTATAACTTGAAGAAAGTGAGTAGGAAAATTTTATACTAACGGTCAATCCAATTTTACGATAATGGTAGTTTTTGATTTGTTCATTTGTTCACGTGAACACTATTATTCATCTATTCACGCGAACTATTTCATAATTTTTATAAATTAAACTAAGCTTTGATCCAATGAATTATATTATACATAGGATGTAACATATTATGGCCGGTTAAATAATTATATGTCAGGTCTAACTATCAATACTATCAATACTTTCTTAGACACAATAAGTCAGAATATAGATACGTTTTTAGCTCGAAATGCTATTCAAAATCAGTTGTAAATCAGGTCAGCTAAATCATTTAGTAAAGAAGAGTTAATTAATTCAGATTTCATGTTAGAATTTTAAAAACAAATAAAAATAATTTTTTTCTCTTTTTGCTATCCAATTAGTTGAAGTTTAATAATCTGATGCAAATTCATTTTAATAAGTAATACAATTTTAATAATTGTTAATAATAGCTACTTATTTATATTAATTAACTTGATATATTATTTTTCTTGATTTAAGATAATTTATTTAATTAAATTTTTTTATTAAAATATTAATAATGAAAAGAAATATAATATCATAATAGACTTTTAAATTATAATTATTATATATTTAAATTTATATTTTATAGATTATTTATTATTTTATTTAATTAATATTATTTCATATTTAGTTAATTTATCAAATTTATATTCTTGTTATTAGTACTTATCAAAAATTTTCCTTAATTAATAAAATAAATGTACTTTATAATTTATTTTAATTAATTTTTATTAATCAATATACTAAAAATATTATTATAAATTTTAAATCTTATAAGTTTATTATAAAATTTTATTATATATTATTTTGTAATATATTTTATAGATATTGTATGGCTAATGCAAACTATGTATCTATATAAGTTTATTTAATTATAAACCTTTTTTAAACAATTTATTTTTTTCTTGATTTTCATTTCTTAAATAAATTTTTTTTTATAATTAATCTTTAATATGTTACGTAAAATAATAGAATTTATAAAAACTTTAGTAAATTTAAATAACAATATTATACAATAATAAAATTTTTTAATATTATTTAAAAATAATAATTTTATAATTTTTGAATAAGGTTTTAAATAATAATTTGAAAAAAATGTTAATTTCTTCTATAAAATTAGAGAAGTTAAGAATATTAAGTATTCAACTAATCATTAAATATGTGATAAAAAAATTTTAAACTAATAATAATTATAAAGAAAAACTAAAGGATATGTCTGATATAAAAGCAATAAATACTTAATTATTATAATATTTAGTAGCAATAAAATAGTAAAATAATAATAAATATTCTATTTCTTCAATTAAAACAGTTATTTTAGTAATTTAAACTAATATTTATTCATATTAATTGCAATTTATATGATAATAAAATATTTAAACAATTTAGACAAATTTATTTAGAAAAATTAAATATTTAACAGTTTTAAAATATGGTGAAAAAAATAATGCTAATAGATTATCTAATAAAGAAGTTTAAAAAGTTTTAAGTCATTATTTAATAAATAGATCAATATTAAAATCATTGTTTAAAAAAGTTTTTTTATAATGCAATATTATAGATTTATATAAAAATGAATATTTTTATTTAATAATAAAAGACTTTAAAAATGTGAAGGTAGTAATTATAATATATTTATATAGTCAACTCTCTATAAATGCATTCCCCTTAGGACTAGACATAAGGATGCATTTAGAAAGGGTATGTATTTATAGAATAATAAACTTATGTGATTTATATTAAAATTTATAATATCATATTTATTATTAAAAATAATAAAACTAAATAATTACTATAAAAATTAACTAAAATATTAATCTATAGTAGTTTGTTATATTGAATTAAATTTTCTTTTTTCATAAATTTTTCAATTTTACTTACCAATTTTATTTGTTCACTTGTATTTTCTTGCTGAAGTAAGAATATACACAGTTTTTAAACTTTATAATACTTTATTAATACAAATAGGTTCTGTTTCAATATTATCATCTACTTCATTAGAATTATCTTTATTTAGTTTTTTTTTAAATAAATCTGCAATTTCTGAAAGTTCAGGAATTTCATAAATTATATTCTCTTCAGGAATAGTTAAAAATTCTTTTAATTGCATCTTATTAGAAAAATTAAGAGTTTCAATTGCATCAGTAAGTTCATTATTAAGTATTAAATCATCATCATAAATTTCATCTAAAAAAATATTATTAGAAAGAATCTTGGTATGTTTCCAGCAATTTTGAATAATTTTAGCTATAATTTCACTTTAACTTTGAATAATATATTGGATTGCTTGTAAAATATTCATTTTTAAATTTTGTATAAGCTCATTAGCTTTAACTTGCTCTAACATCCATCTAAAATAAAAAAATTTTATATTTTATATATATATCAAAAAGAAATAATAAAATTAAAATTAAAAAAATATATAATTACCTAATATGATAATGTATATAATGTTTTTAAAATCATAATTATTCCAGCATCTATTGGTTGAAGTTTTGAAATTGTATTAGAAGGTAAAAAATAAACATTAACATAAGAAAGAGTTAAATTTTCTAACTTATGACTTGAACAATTATTAATTAATAACAAAACACATTGTTTCTTATGTTTTTGCCTAACTTGATTATCAAATTCCTGAAACTATTCTTAAAAAATTGTTAATAATATTCAAGCTTTAGAATTATTTCGATAGATTATTAGTAAATTATTAAGATTAACATTTTTAAAACATCTTGGTTTGGCAATTTACCAATCACCAAAAGCATTAGCTTATGTAATTCATCAGAATTTACATATAAAGCAATTAAAAGGCATTTCTTATTTTTTTTACACCTAAAAAGTCATTGTATTGCTAAAGTTTTATCTGGTTCTAAACTAAAAAAAATACCAATTATATGAGTATAAAAAATATTATTATTAATATTTATATAAAAATGTAAAAAAAAATACCAATAAAAAGTTTGATTTCATCCATATTATAAATTCATTCAGAAAGATATTCAGCACATTTACTTTATAATAATGGTAAAGATTTAGCAATAGCATTTTCATCAGCAGAACTTGCTTCTCCTTGAAGTTTTACTTGACAAATGTTATTACAATCCTTAAATTTTAAAGTCAGCTGGAAGAAAACTAAAAAATGTTAAAAAAAAAATTAATTAATTAATTAAAATAAATAAATATTAAATGCTTTTAAAGTTTAATAAAAATTATAAAATTATAAAAGCAACTAATTAAGTCAAATAAAATTAATAGAAGTTAAATAAAAATTAAAAATAAAATTAAACAAAAATAAATAAAATGATAATTTAAACTAACCTGTAATGTTTTTTAAGGTACTTCTAATTCTTCAGCTAATAATTTGACCTTCTCAATTAATAAAGCATTACTTAAGATTGTTCTATTTTGATGAACTAATATAAATTCTTTTAGAACAAGCTTAAGCTCTGAAATAACAACAGGTTTATGACATTTAGCTTTTGGATTTGTAATTTCTGTAGTAAATTGTTTATCTTTAGTTTACAAAATTTGTATAATTGTAGATTTATCAATCAGAATCCCCATTTTTTCAATCTAGTTTATATATTCAAAGTGAATCATAATATTATTATGAGCATATAGATAAAATCATACTTTTGAATATCAGTTAAGGTGGTTTTTTTTGACATTATTTGTAGTAAAAATTACGCTAATATTACATGAATTGCATGTATTGCGCATATTACGTGTATTGCGTAATATTATATATATTTTGAAATTTTTGAAATTTAGGTAAATCTTAGTTACACAACTTAAGTTAAAATCATGTGAGATGCATTTAAAAAGAGGTTTTTCATATAATCAGACTTAAAAAATTATTACATCATTAAAATATAAAGGGAGTGCATTTAGCATTAAAGTTTCAGTTTAAGACTAAGCAAAAGAGTGCATTTATGAAGGGAGTGCATTTATGAAGGGAGTGCATTTATGAAGGAAGTATTTATGGAGAGTTGACTATATATCAATTCAATATAAATTAATAAGTAGAAACTAGAAATTATGAAAAGTTAATAAGCTTATTTATTAAATAATTCAAAAATAATTAAGTTTTTGAAAAATATTTATTTTATTATCTTCAATTAGCTAAATTAAATTTTTATCTTCAAAAATATAATGAAAAATATGATAAAGTAAATTTACTTATTTATTTATTAACAATTAATTTATAATATTAGTTATATATAGAATACTAGTATAAAAAGTTTATATTGATCAAAATCAGTTGAAAAATTTAATAAATAAAATATGCAAAATATTTAATATTAATTGTATTAAATGAAAGATTATAAATTATATAAATATAAGATATTTATACAAGAATTTTAAAAATTAAATTCTTTAAGAAATTCAATAAAATTAACAATTTAATATAAAAATATAGAATGTTTAGATTCTTATAAATTATTTAGAGAATAAAAATAAATTAAAAATTTAGTAAATAATATTTATAATATTAAAAATATAAGATATATTTTTATCAAATATTTTTATCATTTTATTAATAAAGAAATACAAATTGATACAAATTTTATTTAAAAGAATCAAATACTAATACATTTGATATTGATAATAATTATAATATAAAAAATAATAAGAGTTTTCTATAATTAAAATGATTTATTTATTATATTTTAATAAATTTTAATTTTATTTACTATAATTTTTAATATAAAATATTAAAAGTAGATAATTTAAAAAATTTATGTAAATTATTACAAGAAATTAATTTTAATAATACTAATTTAAAAAATATTATAAATACTAATAATTTAATTAATTTAATAAATAATAGATTTTCTAACAGGTTAATTTAAAAATTAATATTATTAATTTCTTAAATTTTTACTATTTTATATTATAAAAAATTATACAAGATATATTATTAATAT